TACCTAGGGGCAAAATGTGCAGCCTGGAAGCAAAACGTGCTACCTAGAGGCAAAATGTGCAACCTGGAAGCAAAACGTGCTACCTAGAGGCAAAACGTGAGACCTGGAAGCAAAACGTGCTACCTGGAGGCAAAATGTGTGACCTGGAAGCAAAACGTGAGACCTGGAGGCAAAATGTGTGGCCTGGAAGCAAAACGATCTACCTGGAGGCAAAATGTGCAGCCTGGAAGCAAAACGTGCTGCCTAGAGGCAAAATGTGCAGCCTGGAATAAAAACATGCGACCTGGATGCAAAATGTGTGGCCCGGAAGAAAAACGTGCTACCTAGAGGCAAAATGTACGGCCTGAAAGCAAAACGTGCTGCCTAGAGGCAAAATGTACAACCTGGAAGCAAAACATGCTACCTAGAGGCAAAATGTGCGGCCTGGAAGCAAAACGTGCTACCTAGAGGCAAAATGTGCAGCCTGGAAGCAAAACGTGCTACCTAGAGGCAAAATGTGCAACCTGGAAGCCAAACTTGCTACCTAGAGGCAAAATGTGCAACCTGGAAGCAAAACGTGCTACCTAGAGGCAAAATGTGCAACCTGGAAGCAAAACGTGCTACCTAGAGGCAAAATGTGCGGCCTGGAAGCAAGACATGCTACCTAGAAGCAAAATGTGCAGCCTGGAAGCAAAATGTGCTACCTAGAGGCAAAATTTGTGGCCTGGAGGTCACGTTTCACCTGAAAGCAAAACATGGCACACTGTATGGCAAACACAATTATATTGTTTGTGCTATAAGTAATAGTGTTTTATTGTGTTAAAATATTTGTACAAATAACACTGTGACAATATCTGTAAAGTAAAAAATTAAAGTGTATGTACACACATATAAAGTGTACGTTTGCTGGGGCTAACCACCATGCATATAGTCAGGGATTGACAGGAATCTGAGGGGTCCCAAGAGCCACACAATAAGTGCCAAAGGGTGGCAGGCTGGCCACCAAGAGGTATACAGTAGATGCCATCTGACTTTGTCAGCATGATGTCACCACATATATGACATCATACTCCAGCATTAGGTTTTCATATTGATTCCAGCCAATTATAATATGACCATGGTGACTCGTTTTTGTTTTCCTTATTCCTCTCTCCCTACTCTTCAAGATTAGAAGGAGCATTGAGTAAATAGACTGAAGCTTTGGAAATAAAATCCAATCTTGAAAATACAAAGATGATACAAGGTAGCAGAGTAAAGCTGGCCAAAGACTGATAGAATTTGATTGGAAAAAGTTTGTTTTCGGAACATTCATTTGATTTTCCAATAGTTGGTGGGGTCAACTGAAAGTTTGATTTCCACTGCAGTAATGAGACATTTTGAAGGAACAGGATGGAATTTTTTTTCTCAAATGAACAATTTTCTAATGGTTTATGTGGTTTTTGTTCAGGATATTCTATTCATACATAGAGATATAGAAAAGTGACGGCAGAAAAAGACCGAGTGGTACATCGAGTCAGCCCATTTTTTATTATTTTTTCTTTCGTTTTGTTTGTTATCTTTTTGCCTGCGTATAGATCTATGCTTGTCCCAAGAAGGAAGGAGCTTGACTTCCAAAAGTTCCCGTTACTTTTCCTACCAGACGGCTCTGCGATGGGACGGGCCTTTTAAGGCTGTATTTCTCATATATGCCTGCTGTTTTCATGCGTTTGAGTATGTTTTTGTCTCTTGGCATTTGTTTAGATTTTATGAAAGTAATGCACGAGGAGTCTGCGCCCTCTTGTATGTGTTCTTGTCCCAAGCATGTTTGAAGCTGTTTACTGTTGGCAGGCTCACTACCTCTACTGGACGTTTATTCCAAACATCAACTACTCTTTCAATAAAATACTATTTTCTGAGATTTTTGTTTTTAGTTTTTGAACTTTCCTCCTGTTAGTTTGAGGTCTGGTCCCCGTGTTCATGATTTTGGTTTCCTGTTGAAAACACTGCCCTCCTGAACCTTATTCCTTGATGTATTTAAAGGTTTTAAAACTGAGTGAGTGAGAAGCTTCCAACGCCTTGTTTCCAGATTTATCTTACTTCACATACTGTGCATGAGACACAATGAAATTTATAAGCTGGATTTTTAAGAAGTGAACTTGAATGGTGTGTGCTCTGCTAGCATCAGTTCCTGAAACTTTTCCTTGTGTCACAATTTCTTTCATGACCTTGAGTCATAAAAGACACCGCCAATGTTCCATGGCACTTCCAACATTGGTTTACCATCAACCGCAAACAATTCCATGGCTTACTCATTTATGGGCAGTCAATATACCCAAATATAGCAGTGAATGAGTCACATGTTCATAAGAAACGGAAGAAGATGATTTATCTCTTAGATAAGATTAAATATAAAACAGTAATAACAGAAAATATTTTTGCAGCAGGTGAAAGAACCTTTGAACCTCCAAATGGGTAAAAGGAATTTTCCCTTTCAGCTACTGAAAACAAAAATACTTTTCTGTAAAAATAAATATAGTAAGGTGCCTATAAGATAGTGTTCCTGCAGTGGTATGCATTACATATACCTGTCACTGTTTTAGGTGGATCAGAATGGAAGGTCAGTGTGAGTCATTGTAAACAGACTTTGGCCCATTTATATCCTATTACTGCCAAGTCCATCTACGTTCAAAAATAAACAGAAAAGGTTTACATCCATCATCACTTTTTATGACCTAAACATTATAGTAAAAGGATGTAAACAAACACGTGTTCTATTTAATCTGCTTGCGCATAGACCTTAAACTAGTTTCACACCTATGCAGTTTGCGTTTGACCCATTTCTGCAGTGCACTTTGCGGTGCGTTTTTGCACATGCGTTTTGACACATTTTTTTTTTCTTGTTGCTAGGCAGATTTAAAATGCATCAAAAATGTGGCAAAAACGCACTACATGCTTTTTCTGCAGCATTTCCATTGAAGTCTATAGAACCAAAAACACAACTTTTTTCATTTAAAAAAAAGTCCCTGACCCTTTCCAAAAAACGCACCAGGTAAAAATGTGATAAAGCTTTGAATTTTTTTTAATAACAAACATGTTATACTTACCTGCTCTGTGTAATGGTTTTGCACAGAGCAGCCCCAATCCTCCTCTTCTAAGGTCCCCCACTGGTGCTCCTGGCCCCTCCTCCCTGCCAAGTGCACCTAAACCAAGCTTTTTGCTATGGGGGCACTCGTGTGGGCTTGCTCCCTAGCTTATTCTGTCTGTCCATTGATACACAGAGCATGGCTCAGTCCTGCCTCCTGCTCCCTCCTCACTGGCTCTGATTGCCAGCAACAAGAACCAATGGCTCCCACTGCCGCCTCTCTGTCTAATGAGGAGAGAGCCGCCACTCTCATGCACATCAAGATGGGGCTCGGGTAAGTATTTAGGGGTAAGGGCACACTGAGAATGCATTAAGGTAAAAAAAAAAAAACCTTAAAGGTTTAGAACCGCATCAAGATAAAAATGAAAGGCAAAACATTTGTGCGCATGATATAAAAAACACATTCTAAATTCCCTTTTTTTTATAAGTGATCACATTCCCTCTGTGCTCAGCTGTATAGAAGGATTCAAGAGATGGGGATGGAGAAACAGCAGTACAATGATTTTCCCAGTGAATGGCTGTGGGTGGATGGGCGTGTCAGCACAAGTCTTGGCCATTGGAGGACAGGTAGGCTGTATCCTCAGCACAGCTAGAAAACTGTCCACACTGGGATGGATGTGGTTCTATGCCTAGCATGGTCAGTTTGAAATATGAAAGCAAGAGGGCTGGCAGGCCAGAAAACTGACCACAGTGGGATGGATGTGCTTCTACGCCTAGCATGGCCAGTTTTTAATAGGAAAGCAGAGGGACTAGCAGGATCACCAGCTATTTCACATACAGAAAACAATACAAAGAGAACAGGATACTTTTTGACACAAGCATACGATACAACAGACACAGATCAGGAATATGAAATGTTGGGGTGTAACGCTATATTTAAATCAGTGAGTTTATAGTAATTCTGCTTTAATATGTCTTCCTTTACTTTAACTTCCTTTAACAGACCACTGTCTCTGTGCAGAGAGTCACGAATAGCTGCAGCCGCCGGAAACTTGTCATAGTGAAAGGGGTCGGTGGCTGTACCTAACCGCTGGGAGCTGCAGCTAGAATCAGAAGATTACTGCCGCTACATTTCACGCCAGCCTTAATCACTGCTATGAATGCAGCCCAACAGTCCATTAAGAGCTAAATGAAAACAAATTCACCTTCATTCCAGAGCTCTCCCCCCTTAGTACTTTATTTGCACCACTAGATGTCCTCAGTCTAATGTCCAGCAGCATCAACGACCCCACTTCCTCTGAGCCCAGGTGAGAACCTGGCCCAGACAGTGAAAGAAGAGGCAGCCCAGTGATGAGCTCCTCTCCCTGTCACTGTGTGTATTTTGCTAAACGAACACTCTTCTCAGTCATTTTTCCTAGTCTCACCCTATCAACAGTGGCAGCAGTTTCCTTGGGATAGAACAGTTTTTATCAATGCTTTTTCAAAATCCCAGCCAATTTACAAACATATAAAATAATTTTCCACCTGATTTCCACTTTATAATATCATGTCTATCCTGCCCTCAGCTAATAATGGAATCTGCTACTCCTCCTACCAGTCCATCCCCCACAGTTACTACCTTTTGTATCACTAGCCCCCTCCCTCTTAGATTGTAAGCTCCAAGGATCAGGCCCTCCTAACCCTCTTGTATTGAACTGTATCATTGCTGTATTGTCTAAATCTTGTATAATAATAATAATAATGTGTTTCAGAGTATAAGAGCTCTTCTAAATGTTTTCACCTAAAACTCTTACCCAAGACTTACACATTTTCCAGGTGAATCTCATGTGAAAAATGTGTACACTTGAGTGAAAACACGAACAGACCTGAATGTTCCATGTGCCACTCTCCCTGGGTATGCAGGGCATTATCAGAGATATAAAAAGGAGTTGTCGGCTATAAGTGCCTATGGCTCACTTACCCAGTGCGGGCACCACAGTCTTCTATCCTTCTAGATTCGTGGGTTACCGAGCCAGGTGCTGGGGGAGACATCTCTACACGTGATCCGGCCAAGAAGTATACAGGTCCCCTCTAGCCGCCTCTGTATATATAGCACATGCGTTGTCACTGCCAGTAGATGAAACTCCACTCTGCAGCCCCGCCCCCTCATGGAACACACACACACCAGGGTTTTCAATGTTTTAATGGCTGTTCATCACACTCCCCCATTCTGATTGGTCGCTGCTCTTCTCAATGATTCACTGGGCATTCCAGACAGGAAACATCACGGGTGAGGAGGAGGGTGTGATCACAGGATGTAGAGGGGGGACTCTAGAAATGCATTTTCCTGGTGGTACGTGACGCATCGTGCTTGTGACAACAGAGTGTCATAACAAACACAGTGTACCCGGACGCCGTGACACTGCCCATCTTGTGCCCTGTGAATTACATTGGATGACATCACATTTGTATGGAAGTCGGATCCCTGCAGTACGTGGCTGATTTCCAGGGACACAACAAGGATTTCTGTTCCAATTGTCACAGGTTCCCTGAGCTGAAAACACTCCGCCTTTATATTCTATTCTACTAAAACTGCACAGTAACCAATCAGCTTCTAGCTTCAGCTTTGAAAATGAAAGCTAGAGGCTGAGCTGCCATGCACCCAGAATCCCCACTCACATCAATGACCCTCCCCCATCATGGTCCCTATTATTATTATTATTATACAGGACTGCTGAGCACTTTACAATATCAGAATTCCTCATTACATCAGGGTCCCCATCAATGACCCTCCAATATCAGAATTCCTCATTACATCAGGGTCTCCATCAATGACCCCCCAATATCAAAGTCTCCCCCCCTTACATCAGGGTCTCCATCAAAGACCCCTCCCCCACATCATGGTCCCTATCAAAGTCTCCCCCTTTACATCTGGGTCCCTATCACAGTCTCCCCCTTACATCAGGATCCCCATCACAGTCCCCGCTACATCAAGGTCTCCATCAATGACCCCCCGCCCCCCTACATCATGGTCCCCATCAGAATTCCTCATTACATCCGGGTCCCTATCAAAGCCCCCCCTTATATCAGGATTCTCATCACAGTCCCCCTTACATCAGGATCCCCATCACAGTCCCCCTTACATCAGGGTCCCCATCAATGACCCCCCTACATCATGGTTCCCATCAGAATTCCTGATTACATCAGGGTTCTTATCAGAGTTCCCCCTCCCTTACATCAGGATCCCCATCACAGTCCCCCCGTATATCAGAGTTCACCTTTACATCAGGATCCCCATCACAGTCCCCCCCTTACATCAGGATTCCCATCAGAGTCTCCCATCAGAGTTCCTCTAACATCAGGATCCCCGTAAGAGTCCCCCCTAACATCAGGGTGCCCATCAGAGTCCCCCCCCCCCCACATCAGAATCTCCATTAGAGTTTACCCTTACACCAGGATCCCCATCAGAGTCTCCCTTACATCACAGTCCCCCCTTACATCAGGGTCCCCATCACAGTGCCCCTTACATCAGAATCCCAATCAGAGTCCCCCCACTCCCACATCAGAATCCCCATCAGAGTCCCTCCTTGCATCAGGATCTACATCAGAGTCTCCCTTACATCACATTCCCCCTTTACATCAGGATCCCCATCACAGTGCTCCTTACATCAGGGTCCTCCATCAGAATCTCCCTTACATCACAGTCCCCCTAAGATCAGGGTCCCCATCAGAGTCCCACCTAACATTAGAGTGCCCATCAGAACCCTAATACACACACACACACATACATCAGAATCCTCATTGGAGTCCCCGCTTACATCAGGATCTCCATCAGAGTCTCCCTTACATCACAGTCTCCCCTTATATCAGAATACCCATCACAGTGCCCCTTACATCAGAATTCCCATCAGAGTCCTCCCTTACATCAGTATCTCCATCAGAGTGCCCCTTAACATCAAAGCGAACCTGATGAGCAAAGCACAAAATTGAGTAGGATAATTGTATGCTTGGTCTGTGGTACAATTACAGTCTGCAGAGGACTAGGTAATCCAGGAGGGGGGTTACAGGTAAGTATGAGCTCTGATCGAACCAAACCTGATATTGCAGTGTGCAAAAGCATCCAACACATGAATAGTTAATCTCAGTAGCAGAGGTTGGTGTCTATATCCAATAGACAAGCACTGATTGTACTTCACAGGAATACTCTATGTGTGTCCAGGACCCTCCAGGATCAGGGGTACCTATATCTTCAAAAGAGAAGAAGAGTAAAGATTGACGACAGGGTTCCACTAAATCATACAATACAATCTGAGATGGGGCTCCTCTTTGAAAGGAACTCCAGACCAAATCAAAGGATCTCAGGTAAATGCCCAATAAATACAACCTTAAAGCTGCAAATATCCACAATGTGTACATTTCAACATTCCCATCCCCCTACAATCATGGTAATGGTCCTAGTTCATGCATGCTAAGCATATGTTTACATTATAATAGGAAGAAGGGTCAGCCGCACACTGGAGGATTGATGAATATAGTGTATATTTATTGATCCATAGGACACACAAAACACCAGGACATGAATACAGGACTTGTTTGTGTGTTTCACAGGATCTCCTGCTTAATCATAACAAAGAAAACAACAAAAGTGCTGTCTTAGATGGGAGTTAGTTAAAAAAGTAACACTTGTCCTAATCAGCACTCCTGAATCCTGAGGGTATGCCTACTAATACATTGTAACAAGACATATAAGACCATTGTATCAAAAGTAGTGATCTCAGAGAGCAAGAAAGGAGGAAAAAAAAAGGAAAGGAAAGTGGAATAAAAGTGGAAACAAATAACGAGAAAAAGAATGGATAACAATAATTGTGAAAAAATAATTATGAAAAAAAGTACAAATGAAAAATAAAATAACAAACACAGATAATAGTGAGTAAATATCCCAAGAAGGATATTTGGCTAAGAAGCCACATTTGTAAATAAAAATTTGTTTTTATAAATATATGCACAAAAAGCATACAAAAAACTCATTAAAAAAACGCACGTCTACTTGGGATAAAATATCACAAAAAAACATACATATTCAGACCAAAATATATCAAAACAGCAAAAAAAAAAAATGTATATTCACATGCAGGGGCGGACTGACAACTCATGGGGCCCCGGGCAATAGGGGATCATGGGGCCACTGTGTCCTTGCCAAAACTCAAAAAAGCCTATGAAAAAGGTACCAGGGACATCTCATGGGGCCCCCTACTGACCCCAGGCCCTCGGGCAGTGCCCGAGTTTCCAAATGGTCAGTCCGCCCCTGGTCACATTACAGATAGCTGCTCAACAGCTATTTCTCTGGTCATTCACAGTTTATGACACTCAGGAGATCATGTCAGCCCTTCACTGGAGATCTGTGTTCTCCCTCCAGATTCTCCAGCCCAGAGCTGGAGAATCAGAGGGACCGAAAACTAAGCAGAGATAATTTACCTCTGCTTAGTAAACTGATTTTTTACTATAATCTCGCGAGATTATAGTAAAATGAGCCGTTTTCCAGAGTTTGTAGACCGTTCTCCAGCGTTTGGAGACCGTTCTCCCTTCGTTCGGAGAACTGCTTCATAAACTGCATTCATAGGAGAACTGTGTTCTCTGAGAATGCCGGAGAACTGAGCAGCGATCTATTACCGCTGGTTCATAAACGGACACCAATGTCAGGAGGTCTGGAAGTCTCACATGCATTGAATTCTGCTTTAGGGCCAGTTCACACTACATGCGTTTTAGTTGCTTTTTTTCTGTCATAGTTCATATCAGTGTTTGGAGTTCCAGTGCATTCCAGTTTCAGAAAAAAAAGTAGAACAGGCTGCATTTTTCCTGTACAGAACTGTACTTGAACGTGGTAAAAAGCATAAAAAGCGCACCAGAATGCACCAAAAACGCACTGGAACGCACATGTCTCTATTTAAATTGAAGAAAAAGAGAGGGGGGAAAATTAACTGGAATGCATAAAAAACACACTGGAACGCGTCAAAAATGTGCATGCAAAAATGCATCCAGAAAGCATCTGGACTGCGTTTCTATAGTGTGAACCAGCCCTTAGGGCCGGTTCACACTACAGGCGTTTTAGTTGCTTTTTTCTGAATCCAAAATGCACAGAAAGTAGGGTATATGGTTGTCAATGTCATGATTCACATCAGTACTTGCAGTTTCAGTGTGTTCCATTTGCAGAAAAAAGGTAGAACAGGCTGCATTTTTCCTGCACAGAACTGTACTGGAACGCGGTAAAATACATAAAAAATGCACTGGAACACACCAAAATGCACCATAAAAGCACTGGAACACACATGTCCCTATTTAAATTGAAGGAAAAGAGAGGGGGAAAAATTAACTGGAATGCATAAAAAATGCACAGGAACATGCCAAAAATGAGTAAAAATTGCACATGCAAAAACTCATCCGGAGCGCATCTGGGCTGCATTTCTGTAGTGTGAACCAGCCCTTAAAATGGTTGTAAACCCCTTACATGTACACAGAGATGAAACCAATTCTCCTACATAAGTTGTACCTGGTTATCTATAGCGGTCTTTCCCCTACATCCATTCAAAGTGCAGATTTTACACAGTATCTCTCAGCTCTGAAAAGTAGGGGGTAGGGAGCTGAGATTACATCAGTGAGGAGAGTCCTGAGAGCTGATCGGAGGGCAGGGATGCACCTCCCTTCACACAGTTCACAGGAACAGAGCTGAGACTGTCAATCTGCTTGAGGTCCCTCCCGTCATCATTTTTCTCTTGGTGTCAGGAAAACTTGTCAGATGTGAAACATGCTTATAGCAGAGGAACAAAGCAGCAGACCGAAATGTCACTTAGTGTTCTGGATAGAGACAAGTACACACTATAGAGGGATATGCTTTGTTCATATTTGATGTCTGAGGTTTGCAACAACTTTAAATGACCCATTGCCTTCCCATAGCTTTCATGAGCTCTTCTAGTAAAATCTCTGTTGAAATACTTTCATCTAACTTCCTATTCTTGGGAACTCACTGCTCTACTTGCAACAGTAATGTAACATACCTAAAAAAAAACCTAAAAGAATGAGCTGAACAGAAATAAGTGAAGCTAGTGTGTATTTTATACTTTTAACATTTATTCAAACTAGAAATCTTAGTTTTGACTGGGCTGTTCCTTTACTCTCTGAAAGCACAATTTCAGGCTCAGGATCCACAGATTCATGATCCACTTCATAATGTCTGCCTCCTGAATGATTATAAAATGTAAAAAAAAAAAAAAAGAGAGAGAGAGATTGGAAGTAATTGCATTTGTTCTGGAATTCTTTGAATTTTTCCCCTCCTCTGATGCCAGGCATATGACCAATATTGCGGCATGGGTCATGTGGTCTCTTCCACGGGGATTTGGGAAAGTGCTCATTTGGCAGTGCTAACAGGTCAACCTTTTACCTCCTCTTCAGATGAGAACATGTGACCAATGCTTCAGCAAAGATAGAATTTGATTATGTTCTGTTCTGTATAGCATACCTATTGTATATGGATGCATGTTTGGGAGAGTCTACAAAGGTGCACATGCATTTATTGGGACATCTATTAGTGATCTGTGTGTATTTGCTACTCCCATCACAACTAATTATTATTATTATACAGTATTTAAAGGCAAATTTGTCTTTATTACGTTTTTATCAGAATTTACAGAACAGAACAGAAAATAAACATTGACTGCATATACAGGTGATCAAACAAATATCTGGAGCATGCAGAAGATCCAAACAACTTTGCTTAAAAAAATCCCAATACGTGTAAATTAATTCGTTTACGTGAAAATTATAGCGTTTACCAATGGGGGTCTATATAATGGAATTAGCTTTTTTACTAGTAAGGACGGTGCTCAGCGACTTATAGCGGGACTGTGGCGGGCATTCTGACACTGGGGGAACTGATTTGGTGGCACTGACATCCCCAGTGACACCAACACTGTGATCGGTGCTAATAAAAAGCACTGTCACTATACTAATGGCACTGGGCAAGAAGGGGTTAACATCTGGGGCGATCAAAGGGTTAACTGTGTGCTGTTTTACTGCATGGGTTGTGTGTGTGTTTCACTGTAAGCACATTGCTTTGTATGGCTCTGCTATGCAGAGCCATATAAAGTAGTGTGCAGGAGCTGACGGGGAGAGATCTATATTGTTTACATACAGGTCTCTCCCCATTCGGAGATACTAGGTGATCACCGGAAACCGGCGAGTAATCACCGGCCAGGACCCGATGATTGACAGCCGTGGCTGTGAATTGCGGCACAGGTAGGGCGTGCGCGCCCCCTATCTGGAACTGCAAAATCATGTATATATATATACGTGATTGTGTGCATCCGTGCCACCCTGTAGCAGTATTTCTGATATAGGGTGGAGGGGAAGTAGTTAAAGGGAAATATTTGTATTGCATTTTTCTTGCACTTTTAGCAAAGTAAGGCCTTGTGCACACTGTACTGATGTATGAGCATCAGACATAACAGGCCGAAAAAGCACAGGGGTTGTATATCACTTGTATTTGCTTATGTTTATTTACTTGTTTATATTTGCAAATATTTGAGGATATGCATACTGCTAGTGTGCAAATCCTGAAATAGTTGCAAATATGCACAAGCAAATACACACAAGAAAATACAAGTGGTATACAATCCTAGTACTTTTTTCTGCCTGTTATGTCTAATGCTCATACATCAGTATAGTATTTGCACATATTTGTGCATATTTACATGTATTTGCAAGTATACAAGCAAAAATACTAACCAGTATCTCAAATTTCTGTATTTTTTTAATTTACTGATCAATACACAGCATTTGTTTATGCACCTGTGTGTACAGGGACATTGAAATCAATGGGATGCATTTTAAATCAGTAAAAAAAAAGACAAAAAAAAACCACTATATGCCTGAAAACTGAGTGTTTACAAGCAGCAGTGTGCAAGAGGCAAGTGCTGCAAAAATGAATCAGTGTGAAAGGGCCCTTAGATCTTTTTCTAATACATTATTGCCATAATAATTCATAACAAAAAGTCTTTATGCTTGTGCTAGATGAAATCTAACCTTTATAAATTTATGAAGTTATTTATTTAGTATCAACAACTACGAGATTGCTAAAAGAACAAACTGTTTATATTTTGCCTGCCTTAGTTTGTTACATTTAGATACAAACACAAAAAGTACAACCATATTGTTACACTCTCAATATTCTTTCTGCACTTCGTACACGTATCACCCTTGTCAAAAATGAATATATGAACTAGAATCACCTTTGCATCAGTTTATGTTTTCTAACAGTGAAGGCCATAGTCATTTGCTATCAGACCCCAGTGCTCACAGCAAAGTTCATGGCTTAGAAGGCGGTATGACCTGTTATGGAAAGAACATGCTGGGTGTGTTCAGGTTTCTATGAAAGAGTTAAGTGACAGCCCAAAAAGCTCCACTTTTCAATTTTTAATGCTGTATGAAGGAGGGATGCTATCCACCTATCAGTGCAAGCAAATTCTCACACCCCCGTAGAAAGCCAATCACAACTCAGCAGTTAAGATCCACAAGAACACACCCTCCTCGATAACACAAAGCCATGAAAACTTTTACTTTTCTAAACAAATGTCTCCTCTGTCTCCTGTATTCATTCTTCCCCTATACAAGTCATCAGTACAGTTCTATTGGAATCTTCCTGACTGGTATTCTCTTTCTTTGCATTACTGTATAGTTCCCTTTCCCAAACCAGATTAGGATTCTACTGAAGTCTTGTCTACAAGCAGTTTTCTGTTTCCTGTTCTGAATTTCAATAATTTGGATACTAAAATTGTTAACTTTTTCTGACTGTTGCTTTTGCCATGTATTGCATTTTTATAGAAGCAGCTTGTTCTGTTCTACTGAGTTGTAATTGTTTGTATTCCTTTATACAGATGAAGGCATGTAAATGTGATGTTTTAGGGTTTTTTGTTTTAACAAACTCTATTAATCAGTTTTCGCAAATACAAGAAAAAAGCAAGAACAGGACCTGGATGCCTAGCGCTCGCAGGGGCGGGATATCCAGAACAATACAGTGTAAAATAGTACACGACCAGGGGCAGACTGACCATTTGGAAACTCGGGCA